GCCTCAAGGAATGGAAAGCTAGGCCACGCCTGGTCTGTCGTGCCCTGAGGCATGCTCAGGACAAGCTTGTTAGTGGCCCGTCTACTCCCTCTGCAGAGGAGGGCGTCTGCTTCCTGGTGGCAGCCTTACCCTGCTCCCCACCCATGCTGACAGCAGAGGAGAGCTTTGGGGACTTGCCTCTTAGTCTCCCTTTAAATAGAGATGTCAGCCTCTTTCAGTGTAAGTTCTCAATATTAGTCAAAATTTAAAGAGACCCACACATACTGAATTTTCCTCATAAAAAAAGAAGTCCTCTTCGGTAGGGAAGAAGCAGGGCTTTTGTTGAGGTGTTGGGAGTGGTGTCCTGCCCTGTGTCCTGTCTGCAAAGCATTGAAGGGGACGTTCCAGGCTGTGATCGCCTCTGCTTTCCCTGTCCTCTTCACTCATCGCTGTCAAATCCCAACCAGAGATAGCACTTGCTCTGAAACGGCCGTGAATGTCTTCTCAGTAACCCATGACTCATTTTCTCTCTTCTGCTGTATTGAAAGTTTCTCCAGAACAGGGGCATGTTTTATGCTTTTGGTCTATCATGTGGCTTCTACGTGATAATTTGTGCTTAATACATAAAAGCGTAGTGACTGAGCAGTGGGACCAGTTTCTCCTGGAATCGGCCCTGTTATTTTCCAGCCTTGGCCTATGGAATTTATTGACATCTTTCAGGCTACACACACCCAGACCTTTATGGTGCTGGGTTTTGCTCCTGGTGAGCATTGACATCCTAGAAACTTAAAAACTCACAGACGCCAGGATCCCAGCGGAGGCCCATGGAATCAGAGCCTCCGGGTCACAAGTCTGGGCACCTGTAGTTTTTAACATTCCCTGAGGGTCATGCACAGCCTGGCTGAGGAAGCCTTCCTCGTGGTGCAGCAAGGTCAGCCCTCTGTGCTGCTTTGCCCCCAGAGGCTTCCGAGTACCGGCATCACCCAAAGGCCCGGCAACAAAGGCAGTGCACCCACGTTACAGCGGGACACTGCCAAGTCTGTGCCTGGGCAGCCACAGCAGGTTACGTTCAAGAACAGGACAGTTTGGGGAACAGGGATTCTTCAGTTGGAAGCCTTTTTTTTAACCCCTCACATATCGTGACTTTGAGGAATGAGGGCCAGAAGAGAGAGGGAAGCTTATCCAGAGACGTGGACAGACAAAAGGCAAAGCTAGGCTTACAGTAGGTGCTCACTGACAGAGTGTGCTTTCTGAGGCCTTCCTGACTTAAAATTCCATCCTGAGAAACCCATTCCTTTGGCTTAAAACTGTGTCTCCTGTTAAAATGGAAATACCTGTGAATCACATCTGACTGGGTTCATCGTATGCTTACCTAAGAACACGTTGTGATGAGGTGCGAGGAAAGATCTGGAAAAAATGGGTGGAAGATGAGGAGCTGTTGCCAACAGAGTAAACGCACTTAGCAGGGCACCTTGCAGACCATGGCAGCTGGACAAATGTGGCCAAATGGATTTGCTGTCATTGAAGAGAAAACTGCTCAGAACTGAGACGGACTGTTAAATATTCTATACTTTCCCCCAGCTGCCCTGCTAGGGAGCTTCCTGGCTCACCCTGGCCTGTGCTGCTAGCTTTCGAATTGAGAAGAAAGCAGCAGGGAAGCGGCCCCCCTCTCCCGCCGCCCCAGGGAGATGGCCTCGTGGTCTAGGCTGGCCCCAGAGCAAGGGCTCCGAGATCCAGCCCGAGGATTTTCCTCCGACTCGCTGTGTGGCCTCCAGCCAGTCTCCAAACAGCTTGAGTTTCCTTGTATGTCAAACCAAGATAAATACCTAACTTCCCACCTCTTTGGGGCAGGTCTGCTGCCTCTGTCATTAACATGTGTCCAAAAGCTCTAAGAAGAGAGCTTCTGAGGAGTTTTAAAACTGTGTTTACTATTAGCATTATCTGTGCGTTATTGGAGCTTACGTAGTACTCGGTGGGAAGGGGACTTGCGTCGCGAGGGTGGGAAAATGGAGAACACCACTTCACTCACAAAAGCGGTGTTTGTAGTGGAAGAGAAACACAGAAGGGCTTTGGGGTTGAGGTGTGAGGAAGAAAAGTCTACAATTGGTACCAGATGCCATCAGAAGCTAACGACCTGACAAACACCGTCCTCGTAAAACAAATTCCTTAAAAAGGAAGCAAATGGAAATATAAGCTAGTGAAAGAATTTGCAGCAGCTGCCCTGAAACCATTTCTCACTTCATAAACAGGTCTGGTTTTGGTGGTTTTTTTTTTTTGGTCTTGGTTTTATTTCATGTCACTTTCCCCCTCGTCTGTGCTCCCCTGTCTCTCCCTCCCTTCTGCCAATGCTGGAAGGACTTCGGACACTGGTAGTCATAGCAACAGTAGTTATTGAAACCCCATCATGATGGAAGAAGGCTCATTCACAGGATTTGTTTTTTGTCCTATCTCAGCTCCGATTCGTCCTCAAGGATGACATGGTATAATGGGATGGAGTCGCTGAAAAACAGCACGTGCTATTTCACGTTAATTTCTTGGCAATAAGCTGACATGAACCACAACTGTTAATGACTCTCTGTTTTCCTGTACTCCCTGCTTAACAACACACATTTTATAGACATCAGGGCACAAAGCATCTTTGGAACTTGGAGGTCTTTAGCATCACTAATGAGCTCTTCTCATCTCATCCCATGAAGAATAGCCAGGTTTCAGATCCCTTGTCCTGGTAGGTGGAAGAGAGGCCCAGAGACAAAGATGTATTTTCTGTATTGCCTACACAGTTATGGCGCTGGATTTGGGAAATCCTTGTTGAGAATCAACAACCCCTCCCCCAACTCATATTTCTCCTTCTGTGGGGGCTCTGTGGAGTGTCCGAGGTATACCACGGCCTCACAGAGAATAATCAGGGCTGAAAGAAGTCACGACTTTGCTTCGTCCTACTCAACTCCAACCCCTTCATCCTGTACCTAAAATGCATGGATAAAAGAAGTGCACGTGTCACTGGCATGTGACTTCAGTCCCGTTGATACACGCATGACTGGGGGCAGACATCTTCAGATCAAATTCATCTTTTTTGAACTTGTGCTTTTTAAATCAATTCTCAATTATTTCAGGGCAGTATGTGCATCGTCAATGACATTTTATTTTCCACTCTCTCACACTGTTGCCCCACTCTTTGATCAAGTCACTGAACACTTAACACAAGTCAAGGAGAGATAAAGCAAATTGATGATGAGATTCACAGTAGTTATCTTGGCTAATGTTGAGCATCACTGCCAACACCACCAAAAGTAAGGACATACATTGCTGGTCTCCCCCACTAGACTGAGTTCCTTAAGGAAACCCCAATACCCAGACCAGGGCCCTGCCAATAGTAAGTACTCAGTAGGTGTTTCTTAATGAACGAATGAACGAGCAGGGCAAGATGGTCAGATCACCGTTTGATGATGATATTTTTGTATTCCAGGTCCCCATCTGCCACTATAAAATGTAACACATTTCCCACAGTGATAGCCGTGGACTGACTTTTCTCTCTATGTAGGAGACATTTAGGTAGTGATTGCTTTGTGAGACAAAGGATGAGTAAATTACTTAACTAAAAAAACAAGCAAATGCATCTGTGATTGTAATGCAAGGCAGAGTAAAAGCAGTATTAGAAGGGAGTTACATATCTTTTAAAATTCCCCTGGGAGGCTCAAAGTAGGAAGGCACCTGGAAGGGCTTCTTGGGGAAGGGAAGCCTTTTAGAAATCTCAGCAAATGGAGCCAACGTGCAGAAGTGGGAAAACGAAAAGTGTGGGTGGCCAGTAGAAACAGGCCGCTGAGGGGAGGACCTGGGCCATGTGCGGTGGGGCTGTGGAGGGGGTTGACTCTGGAGCAATGACAGCCCTGTGGGGCGTGCACCGTTATTGTCCCGACCTTCGCGGGTGTGGGGGACCCCGCAACAGCCACAGCGGCAGCGAATGGCACAGCCGGGACCCCGCCCAGACGGCGCCCGCCCGCAGTTCCACCTTGCCGAGGGGGGTTTTTTTGCTCTGTCGCACCTTGTTGACATCCGGTCCAGGCCGAGTCTCCCTGACCTGTGGGCAGTTGGACTCTCTCCTGCCCCTGGATGACGGCCCTACAGATGCAGGCAGCAGCCTTTCTCTGCTGAGAAGACGCCCCGGAAGCACAAGGCCAAGCTGTGGCAGTGATTTGGTACCTGTGTGCCCTCTTCCTGCCATGGGCTCAATTTCTGATCGGCCAGTGCTGCTTCTCTGGTGTACATATCGATGAGTAAATCCATGTTGTCTTTTCTGCCGTCTCAGGGACCCAGACCCTTCATCCAGGGCCCCCCAGGACCAACTGGTAATCAAACAACCAAAAGGTTGATGCTGGACAGCCAGGAGCCCCCATGGTTCGCTCCTGGCCTTTGCCCTGGGTCTGTTTGGATTGTTTTGGGTCTGGCAGTACTGGTTGTTAGATATTTTGAAGGTACCCCCTGAACTGTTCATATCTGATGCCATTTAGAACTTTGGGGACATGCTTCCCACCTTGTCTCATCATCATTTTGTCCTCTTGGAGGAGCTATACAAAGTCAGTTAATAATTACTTACTCGCTGAGCCCTGGCTGAATGTGGCTCAGTGGGGTGAGCATTGTCCTGCAAACTGAAAGGTCACCAGTTCGATTCCTGGTCGGGGCACATGCCTGGGTTGTGGGCTGGGTCCCTGGTTGGTTGGGGTGTGCGAGAGGCAACTGATTGATGTTTTGGTTTTTTTTCTTCTTCTTTGTCCTTTCCCTCTCTTTAAAAATAAATGATTAAAATCTTTTTAAAAATTTACTTTTTAGCTGACACTGTTCTTGTTTATTTTATGTTGAGTGGCTCCAGGTCCTGTAGAAGGAGGTGACACGTTCAATGTCAGTTTTGGGAAAAAAATGTTCTCTTTGGTTTTGAGGCCCTTTCCAGGCGCAGCTGCCGAGTCGCTGCCACTGCCCACTGGTTCTGGGTCAGCCTAAGACGCTGCTCTTTCTGTCGTCCCCAGCTGTGTCCACCGGCCCTGCGGGGAGCAGAGCAGCTGTGCGCCGCTGCTGCTTGATCACACGGATGTGGTGAACTGTACCTCTGGTGGCGCAGGTCACATGAAGTGCGCTGTCACCTGTCAAAGGGGGTTTGCCCTTCAGGCCAGCAGTGGGCAGTACCTGAGGCCCGTGCAGGTGAGTTGGAAACCTGTGTCATTGGGCTGAGCTCCTGGGGAGGGAAGGTCCCCATGCTCCTGTCCCGGGCCCCATCGGGGAAGGGCAGGTGGGCGCCAGTCATTTGAAAGGAGACCTGCGGACTCACAAGGGCCAGGAGGAGCCTGGCTCTGCAGAAAAGTGAGGGACGGAAGAGCCTCTGCCGTGCCCCACCCCCTGGAGTGTCACTTCCTCTCCAGGTGGGCAGGGGACAGGAGCGCTTGGTCCATTCTTGTCCCTGTTCTCGTCTTCCCATCAGAAGTGACAGTCCCCTCTGTTGGCTTCAAGATGAGAATGTCACAGTGCAGCCTTGTCACCAGTTTGCAGCCAGCTTGTCTGCGGTTCATTGTCCTGCTCTCCAGCCCTTCTTACAAGGAGGCTGGAGAGAAAGACTTTGCTTTTCTTCCCTCTGCTGCTGAGGTGGGGATTATATCATGACTGTAGCTTTGGTGGAATTTTCCAACTTTCCACGAGCCACCACAGTATCATTTCCAGTATTTTAAGGTGGTTTGGAGGTGAGAGCGTGGCTCAGGAGAAAGACCTGGAATGAAATTTTGGCCCCACTCTTTATTGGGTACATAATTTTAGGTAAAAACAAACAAACAAAAGAAACTAACCTCTTCTGGTTTGTTTCCACATTTGTAAAATAATTAGAACAGAAGTATTTATGTTATTGAGTTGTTGTGATGACTGATTGGAAATCATTTGAAAGCTTCTGGCAGAACGCTAGGCCCAGAACACTTTGGTAAGCCGCCGTTATTATGAGTATAATGCTGTGTTCTCAACATTCTGTTTCCCATCTTTTCTTTAGAGAGTTTTTGGCGCTCTACAGAGCAATTTCAACTTGAAATTAGCCCTTAGAAAACATGGCCATGATGGGAAATAGAGAGAGGACACATTAGGCCAAAGACAGTGGAGCTTGAGGAGAAACCCAGAGACAAGTGTCACAGAGAGGGAGGAGTGGACACGTGACTGGCATCAATAGTTTGGAATAAAGGAGCTTTTGTTTTCATTTTGTGCCTGTGTTGATGGAGAATTTCACTTGCTTAGAGTGAGTCAGAATTCAAGGACATAGCCATTGGTCTCGGTGGTTTGGGTTCTTCATAGAAAGAAGGTTTTAGTATACCTTGGGTGATAGGATGCTCTGATCACCTACCTGTTCTTAACTTGCTCTAGAAAAGAGAAAAAATGAAAAAGGACCTTCCCTCAAAAAAAAAAAAAAAGTGTAGGGACTGAATACATTCATGTGATAGGTGCAGGAGGGGAGAGAAGAAACAACAGTGTTTGCGATATGTTAAAATTAAGGGTAAATTCAAAAACAAAACGGGCAATCCTTAGCAAAGTCAGGAGAAAAACCACGCGATAGACGCAGAGTCCGGGAGGCATTCCTGAAGCGACCATTGTGGTCCGGGCCAGGCGGCCAGGCGGCCAGGCGACCAGGCGGCCAGTGTGCAAGGGGCTGCGTCTGGGATGGGAGGCCACGCTTTACCGACCGTGTGGTGGAGTCCGCTCTCCCGCTGACCTCTCCTGTCACCTGAGGCTGGCCCCACTAAGGAAATTATACAACCCTGCTCGTGATCACAAGACAGCAGGGGATATTTGCTTCTTGTTGACACAAGAACTGAAACTAAACAGAAAAATGTGTCTGGCTTTGACTCGGGTCCTCCTGGCAGGCAACAGGGAAACATTGGGAAACAGGGAGGAGCTGGTAGCCAGGAGCGGGTGTCAGGGGTGACAGGTGCTTTCACTAGTCATTTTACCTTTGGCTGTGGCCCCTGTGGTCTCCTGGCGGGACAGCTGGCGGAACCACAGAGTCACCCCCTTCCCCTCTCCCTCTCTCTGACCTTTGGTGACCCTTTGGCTAGAGTGACAGCTGTTCTTTCTCCCAAACAAGCTCTGGGCTTCCATGTCCCTCAGTCCTTGCTCATTCTGTTCCCCTCCCTCTGAACATTTTCTTCCTCCTCTGTCCCCTCCAGAGTCCCATTCATCGTTCACAACCCAGCCCCTGCGTTACCGACTCCGTGAACCTCCCCCTCCATGCCGTCCCTGCTCCCCAAGGATGGGCAGTCCTGCCGCCAGCCCCACAGGACAAGCATGTGCACATGACACTGTTGTAGTTTCTGTAGGTTTATATTTTCTTCCCTTGTGGCCCCCATTTCCTACTTCTTCTGCCTTACCTTTTTCATTCTCTGGATTGTATTCTCTCAAGTCATTGTGGAAAGGGATAGGATGTAACACAAGTATCTCTCTTGCATTCTTTTCCGTACCTCATTTCCTCCTTCTCCCTTTGTCTCTTTCTCCTTTCCATTCGTTCCCCTTCAGGTGTTTTATGAGCCACTGGTCCCACCTGTGACTCACTCTGCAGGTAGATTATTAGCTCCTTGAGGACACCTTGTTTATGGAAACCTAGGATAGAACCTCGCCCTTCCAGGTGCTCAGTCAGTGTCTCTTCATTTATTGAGTGGGGATGAGGACTTGGGCTACCCTACAGAACTGGTGCCCAGGGAAATGGCTGGAATCTCAAATTTAACCATAAGGTTTGGAAGGTACCTAATGTGAATTGATTCTCAACTGTCCTTAGACACTGTGCACCATTCTTTATTAGTTGGCTCATCAGGAAGGGTCCTGACAGGAAACCGATGGACATGCTAAAAAACGGGCCATTGAGAGAATTTAATGAAGGGACTACTTGCAAAGGTGGCAGCAGGATCGAGGGAAAGTACAGGGAGACAGTGTGGCCTCCCAGAGCTGAAGGGGCTTAAACGACCCCCAGGCCCGGAAGGCTGATCGTAGGGAGCAGTCAGAGGAGCCACGGGAGGGGAGCACAGGGGCTGTGTGCAGAGGGCTGCCCCGCGGCGGGGCTGACCTGCGGTGCCCCCTGCAGAGGGGGCAGGGAGGGTGAGCACCTGACCTCTCTTCCCCCTCCCTCTCCAGTCTCCTGCTGTGCGCCCTGGGCAGAGGCTTGAAATGCACAGGGGCAGGCATCTCTGGGCACAGAGCAGGGCGGAGGAGCGTAGAGAGCCAACGGGAGGGACACGCTGGGGACAGCCAGGAGCTGGCCTCGGGGGGCACCCACCTCCTTCAGTGGTTCTCTCACACAGTCAGGCACGTTCCGTCAGCCTCAGAGTCGGGAGCCTCTATGTTAAGACGATAAGGCTGGAAGAGGGAGAAAGGCAAAATAGCTTTCACTTGTCTTTAATGTTTGTGCAAATTGTCACCGGGAAACTCTTTGTGTAAGCCTTCTAATGTGACCGCGACAGAGGAAAACTCTCTTTTTCTAGAGGGAAATCCTGCTCACGTGTTCCTCCGGACACTGGGACTGGGCAGTGAGCTGTGCGCCCCTCGACTGTGGTGTCCCCGACCCGTCTCTGGTGAATTACGCGAACTTCTCCTGCTCTGAGGGAACGACCTTCCTGAAACGCTGCTCCATCTCCTGTGTCCCTCCAGCCAAGCTTCAAGGTATTGTCTGGCCGGCCAGGAACTGTGGGCAGGGACCCTGCAGTCCCTCTCTCTGTGGAGGCGTTTTGGGGATCTTTCCTGCGCCCCGACACTTCCCATCTGCTCTGATGGACCGCCCACTTCTGATAACCCCAGCCACGTCCCAGAAGGCAACGCCGTTCTTCCCGATGGCCTGGAGGGACATCCTGGCTCGGGACTTCGCTCCCGAAGGAAACTAACATCTTCCTCTGCTTTTGTTTGACTGCATATCCTCCGCAGTCAAGCCAAACAACAGTTTTCTGATAATATTAATAACGCTACACTTTATCATGGACACTTTAATTTAATATTTACAACCATCCTGTGAGTCAGGTGCTTTGAGCTCTGGTTTATAGATAAGAACGTAGTCAACAGATTTTTCCCTGGCTGCACTGCTAGTCACAGACGAAAAAGGGAAGGGCCTGCCCACCCGCCCCCACGCCTGCTCTTTGCCTCTCCGCAGACTCCTGCGTGCCTGACAGTGGCTCATTACAAAAGCAGGTCCCCGAGCCCCGCGTTGCCAGATTCTGGTTTAGGTCTGGGGCGGGCTGGTGACGCAACCAGGAGAAGTCTATGGATTGCAACTTGGAGAAGCCATGGCTTCTAGCAGGCCTGTGCTGTGGTGGAGAAACACAGGACTCTGCGGCCAAACTGCCTGAGTTCAGTCCCTGCCCTTGCCTCTGACTAGTTCAGGCAAGTCACCTAAACCCAGTTTCCTCTTCTGCCAAACGGAGTGACAATGACACCAATTTTATACGGTTGCTCGAGGTTTGACACTTACATGAGTTAGTATGTGTAAAGTGTTCAGAACAGTGCTTGGTATGTATTACAGTAAGCACTATAAAAGCAACCTGTGATTATCATAATGCATCCCAGGACACGGTCACTGCTATGTTTCTACTATCTGTAGGTAGGAAGAGGTCATGATTGGGTGAATAGCCCTTCTTTCATTGATGCCAAGGAATCGTTATTTGGCCTCTGTTCCATATATTAGGTCACACTGGTGGTTCTGTGGGTAAGAAATATAGGCTAGACATGTGCCCTGAGATTTTAGAGACTTGCTAAATGAAGAATAATATACTTTCTAAGACGGCCAGTGCGGTGGCAGGTTTGGTTCTTTCCGATGTTGTCGCGTTACTGGACTCTGTGTTCTGAGCACCTGCACTTCTCTTTCCCGGAGTCAGGACCGAGCCCGTGGCTGACCTGCCTGGAGGACGGGCTCTGGTCGCTCCCCGAGGCCTACTGCAGGCTGGAGTGCGCCGCGCCCCCCGCCATCCCGAACGCCAGCCCGCTCCTGCCGCACTGCCTCCAGGGCCACCATGACGTGGGCTCCACCTGCAGATACGAGTGCAGACCTGGCCACTACGTGGTGGGAAGCGTGGAGAGCCAAGTCAGGAAGTAAGTGGACCGCCCCTGGCCCGTACGGGCCCTCTCTGCACCCGCTCCCTCTTTGTAAATCCCAGGCCGCTGTTTTGGGGATAGTCTTAGGACCTCTGGGTCGTCCAATCCTTGTTTGATTTGTTTTGACTTTGTGTGTTTGTGTCCTCTCTCTGCCTGCACAGGTGTATTTCCTAGTCACGACCAGCAGGTTGACTGGGTATGCTTTCTGGAAAGATAATCCTTTCCCGTAGGAGATCCCCTGTAGTTTCATCTAGGTGCTCTTTAAAAGAGTCTGTGCCCTGTTCATCACTTCCCTTAAGTGTTAGGAGCTTCCCGAGTGTTACATGTCAGGGGACAGCCTGGGGCCCGTGATGGTGCCTCTGGGAGAAACTGCCTGGGCCCGTCCCAGTGTAGATGCATATTCGCTGTTTGATGCTGGGAAGGGTTTATCTCTGCCTCGGTCTTCTCACAGGTAAAGTGAAGATAAAAGTAATAACATCCACCTGATAGAGCTGGTGTGGGAACAAATTAAGTTAACTATGAAGCGTAAGATTCAGTCAATTTGCTTTTAGAGCATAACCCTCAGTACAAGTTAGCTATTAGTATTGTTACATAGTCTCTGCTTTGTCTTTTTTTCCCTGGGCTTTTGTGTGCACACTCCTAGTCCCAGAAGATGGGGTGCCTTTCTTCCAAAGGCATGGCGATCAGAAGAACAAAAGCTTCTTACAGCATACTGAAGAGGAAGGGCTTTGGAGACAGCCAGACCGGGTCGAATCCCGGTTGTCCCTCTCTGTGTCCAGAGTAACTTCAACCAAGTCGCTTAACTCCCGGGTCTCGCTCTTCTTTGTTCTTTGAGAGTAACGCCCACACCAGGGTGTTGGGTCGAGGATTAAACGAGATAACTCAGATCCAGCCCAGTGCCTGCCTGGGGCCGGCTGCTCCATAAATGGTTTCAGAAAACGGGCCTTTTTCTAAACAAACAAATATTTTCAGAAAAAGAAACTCCATGTATTCAGTAAACAGTAGCTATTCTTTCCCTATCATAAATTAGGTACAGGAGAAAATCAAAGTCGTTTTTTACCCAGAACTTTACTAGCAGTCTGACCATAGTAGGTATTTTTTTCTGATTTTATTAAACCAGCCAAACCCCAGCCACGGCATTCCCAGCGGTGCCAGGAGACACACGCTTTGCTCGTGAGCTAGAGTTCTCCAGTGGGGCGGGAGAACACCTGGAGACATGCTCTCTGGCTCACCTTTGCCCCTCTAGTCAGTGCTCAGTCTTCCTACTGTGGGGCAGACTCAGTGTGACTTCGCCCAGGACCTTCCCCTGCGCCAGGAAAAGCCCAGACTCTCACACGGGAGGCTGGCAGGCCAGCTCCCTCCTTGTCCTCCCAGTTTAAGGCGAGAGCCAGGTGGGTGAGAAGATGAACGCTGATGGAAAATTCACAGCGCTCTGGTTCAGTGGACTCCAGCAGGCGCAGTCCACAGTTTCTGACAGAGGAAGCACATTTGCGGGTGATTGCATAGGACCTCGGTGATCTGCTTAGGCACGTGCCGACAGGCAGTGAGTGCGCCCTGGTCGTTTTCACGTGAGAGTGCTGTTGCAAGGAGCCTGCAGGCTGCTTTTCCCAGCCTCTTCCTGCCGCCATGTTCACACCCCTGCACCCCACTCAGATGTTGGCGGAGCAGTGCCATGGAGAATAATTGCGGGGGCGGGAAGAAGAGTGAAGGGTGGCCGGATTGTTTCCAGCTCTCTCGGCCCAGTGAGACCCCTCTGCCCGCCGGACTGTGGGCTTTCTGCCTAACCCTGCATCTCTGCCCCAGGCGGGGGCACACAAAGACCATCCGTGAGCACAGCCTCTCTGGTAGAGAAACTGGAAGCTCGCACCGCAGCGTCGGCATCGGTTTTGGCTTAAACATTGACATTCCTGAGCACCGTCTTGAGGAGAGATTATTAAGTTATTTACTGCCCTGCGTCAACTGATTTAAATCTTACTTCATACCTGTTTACATAGCAGGCAGCGGGTTGGTACTCAGAAGTTGGCTCGTCGGGCATTAAATCACTGTCACTGGCCCGTGAGTTTCCACGGTGAACTGTGCCAGCTTTGTTCCTCGCTTGGTGGAAAGAGCCTGGAGTTGTATAAATGGGACCCTCGGCTTCTTTCTAGGACACGTAGGCGGGAGGACAGGAAAGTGAGAAAAGCAGGCGGGGTGATCCATCCAGACCCAGGCTGATGGTATGCAAGCACTGGAAAAACCCACAGTGGTCCGGCTTGCAGCGGGCTGTTCGCATGACCCTGAGCCGCGTGCTTACATACTAGCCTTAGATATCAACGTTTGCATCCCCAGGGTGAGGTATAGCAAGGCTTATTACTCACATAATGAGGCTTTCTGGGGAGAGAAGCAGTGATCCCAGGTTGATCCTCCAACGGCTGGAGAGGCCGGGGGAGGCGAGGTCAGGGGAAGAGACAGGCCTGCGGTTCCCTGGTGGCCAGAGGGTTGGCTGGGATGAGGGCGTCTGCATGTTCTGACGCCCTGCCAGTGCCCGGAGAGGAAGCGCCTAGGCTTTCTGAGGGGCTTGCCCCCCTGTCGGGGGCAGTGGGCCTGAACGCTGTCAGCAGTCCCCCGCCAAACGTGGAGACAGGCTCCGCATTACGGCATGACCAGCTGCAGCCTCCTTAAGACTCTTCTTCCTCGATTCTGTTTCATCTCACTCCCTAATCTTCCATCTACTCTGTCTCCATTTCTTTTTCTGGCCTTTCTAACTCTTCCCATTTCTTCAATGTTTGGGTTTCTCTGAGCTTGCTTTCTCTCTTCTCTATCTACACCGTTGTTAGGGGTGGAGCTCCTTTACGCCATGGCCTTGTTTACCATTCACATGGTGATGACCCCTGAATACACTCCACTGCTCTAGTCTCTCCCCTTAAGGGTTATGAAGCCCATTAGGACAGCTGCCAATGGAGGTAACACTTGGATACCCCATCTGCATCTCAGACTCTTATTATGCAAAACGGCCTGTTAAAATGTCTTTCAAATCCACGCATCCTTCTGTGTTCATGTGATTGGTTTGGTCCAGGAACCTGCACATAACCTGCAACTGACTCTTTGATGTCCTTCACTGTCAATCAAATTGGTCATCAACTCCGTGGAGTGTCATTGTCTCACGGACTCTCGGAGATGCCCATTTCTCCCCATTCCTGCTGCCACTTCTCTAGAACAGGCCACTATCATTTTTTACTCCTGAACTGATCTTTCTGACTCCAGTGTTCCCCTGTTCAATATATCTACTGCTTTGCAGCAAAAATGACTTCACAAAACTCAAATCCAATTATAGTAATCCCCTATATAAAACTAGATGACCAGCCAATCTGCCATTTTATTCAGGGGGAAACAGAAGCTGAAACTTAAAATCCTTTTGAGGTCTTGCATGATCTCGCTGCGGCTTGCTTGTTTCTCCAGACTCATTGCTCGCATCCCTGGGAGACCACCTCCCTGCTTTGCACACCATGCCTTCTGTGGTATGGGCGCTGAAGCTGCTGGATGTCTGTTACTTCTGCATCTGAGCGATGGCCAGCATGCCTCTCGACCTGCACAGATGCCATTTCATCTGGCCAGCTCTCTCTGACTGAGACCTTTTGCTTAACTAGCCCTGCTCTCCCATGTTTAGCATAGATGTGACTTCATCTAGGAAGCCCACCAGATGCCCCAGTCAGTAGGAAGCACGCCTCCCGTGGACTCCTATTGTGCCCAGAACCTCCCTGACATCATCCAGCTCACCGAGTGGAAGTGGTCTGGTTACCTGTCTTTATTTTCCAGGAGACCATGAATATTTGTTCAGCATCATGAACTCAATGGTTACTATAGTTACTGCTTGCTTATTTACTCAATAAATGCTTTCTGAATGGATGAAAAGACTGAATTTATAAGAAAAACCATGATAGGATTTTGATGTTAAAAAATGGATTTTCCTAGGAAGTGGCGATCTTTATTTCAAGTTCCTTAGAGTGGAAGAAAACTTTTGAAAATGTATATGTATGTTTTTCTTCTAGCAACCATCTTGGCAACATAGGAGGAATGGTTGTTGTCCAAAGACAGCTTCAGTTTCATTTATTCAACAGACCTTTAGCTTGATTAGTAAAGTTCAGAGTAACAGGAAGGGGGTTAGACCTCTTGGAAAGCTCACCAGAACGGTGGTTCTCGTACCTGGCTGCACATTAGCATCCCCTGGGGCAAGTTTAAAACTCTTACTGTCCGGCGCACACCCCAGTCAGCAGAGCCTCTAAGATGGGCGTCCAGTCACTGCACTATGCAGCCAGAAGCAAGAGGCACCGGCCTGGTGGAGCCCTTGTTCCTGTAAGAACAGGACCCGTCACGGGGTTTTGACTTGTCTAAAAAAATCCAGAGTGATGTTTGTCTTTTTTCAAAATTAGTGTAGCAGCACTTTTTTCATGCCAGATTTTTGCATGTTTCTTTGAGGCTTATTTATTTTTGGAGATAATAGAGGAAAAACAGAAATGTAACTCCAAAGAAACTGTAAAGATTAGGTTGTTTCAGGAGTTCTTTCTTATTCCCACTTTATCGTACACACACACTCTCCTTTAAGCCCTTTTCTCTCCTCCCATGCAGTTTACTTCCACATATACGTCATCATTAATCTCTCCTTTTGTTTTATTGACCTGATTTTCTAGGAAGCTACAGTACATATGTTCAATGTATATGTTATCAAAAAGATTTTACTGTATTCACGCTTATCTTTCACACACATAGGTACCTTTTTCTCATTAGGTGTTACCTTTATGTAAGATGGTTAGGTTAACCTCATAGGGCTCATAATTAATCTGACTTCTCAATTACTCCATAGCCTTCTAACTGTTCTTAGATTGGCTTTCCTTCTATAAGTCATTCATCAAGATGCAATCCAAAAGGTACTCAGTCAGGTCTCCTTGAGAGTAATTGTGAATAGCCGTCCTTTCTGAGGGTTGCCCATGGAATCAGCTTTTCCAAAGTATGTAAGTCTA